GACGCCGCGGGAAACGACGAAGCCGACAAAGCTGCCAAGTTAGGTGCCAATTCGCATTTTCAGCCATCGAGTGCCGAGGTGGAGGATCAGGCAAAGACTACCAAAGCCTTGGAGTCCTACCTTAAATTCGTCGCTACAGCTCTAGAGGTTTTCCCAACTCTGCCCAAATCCCGTGGCCGGCAGGGGAGCCGCTCCAGACTGAAGAGAGCGGGGCCTCGAAGGGATGGCAGGGCAGAGTACAGCTACCGCGACGAGATTTTGGGCAAGCATCGACCAGCGACGGCTGGTACGGCGCCAGGGAATGGGGTCAGTTCGGCAGGCGGGGTTGCTTCTTCCTCTTCCGCCCCCCCCCCCTGCCCCCCCTCCCCCGCCGCCGCGCCCGTATAGCCAGTGTTCAGCCGGTGTCCCAAAGCCAGCCTCGTCCGTCACCCAAGCCCCTCCCTTGGACGCGGCTTCGGGACCAGCCCATCACCAATGGAAGTTTATCCAGCCAAATTTCTGGAGTTATAAAGTCTGCTACAAGCGAAGCTACGCTGAGTTGCCTTCCGTATCGGAAGTCTGCACTGGCCATAATGCCATTTTGAGCGCAATCGCCGCAAACCCTCGTTTGCATAGGATTTATATCGCATGCCACGACTCCAACAGCTTGATATTTGTATGCAGCACATGTGGTTGCATATGCCAGGGCCAGCGTGCCAAAGGCCTTTTGAAAGAGTGTGATGGTAAATACAAGAGCTCCCACAACAGGAAACATTGGAAGCGAATGTTTAAGAGATTGCACCCAGACCCCGCCAAAGGCGACGCAAAGGTGCTAGACGAGCTGTTGCCGCTCTCCAGCCTGTTCTCTTAGCTGCCTGCTCTCGTGTGTGGCGGGCTTCGAACCCTCAGCGGTACAGATTTGAGTGCTTCGCTTCTTTAAGTAAATGAACCCCGACAGCCGCCAAAGGCGACGCTTATGGGATAGATGAGCTTTACCCGCTCTCCGGTTTGTTCGTCCCGAACCCAGCGCTGAATCCGAGTCCAATCCAATCCAAAGCCCTCCCCGAAGGCACGGGAAGCGTTTCGGAAGGCGCGCGGGCTTCTGAGAAGTCGCGCCGCCCTCTGCGAAAGGTCTTCTCCCTATCCCTTTCCCCCCCTCCCTCGCCCTCTCCCTTCCTCCCCTCTCCCCTCTCCCTCTCCTTGCCGTGCATCCTGGAAACAGTCGAATCAAGAAATAACGGCACGACACTACGGAGCATGGAAGAACGACGGACAACAGAGAGGCAGGAGGAGGGGAGGAGGAGGGTGCAGACAAGGGATGGGAGGGGAGGATGTGGACTGATCACAGATGCCAATGCCACCACTGCTCACGCGATCAAGCCAAGCGCGATCATGCGATTGGCTACCTCTGAAGCTGGGACCATTTGTCAAATGATCGGCAGACACTTCGGCCGTGCCGTGTGAGGCGCGGGGGAAAGAAAATCCTCGAAGAAATGCTCCTCCCAGTCGGACAGGTCCACTAACCTAGGGCGCTGCTCAAATCCCCTGCTTTCTCTTTCCCAGTCCTGGTGTTCCCTATCATCCCCTGTTATCAGAGATCCCTTGTATGTTGCATTCTCGGGAGACCTTGTCTGTCCCGTCGCGGCCCTATCCGCCTCGAATCCGTGTCGAAGCCATGTCGGCCTCGTCGGTTCCGTGTCGAATCTGTGCCGAATCCACGTCGGATCCACGCCAAATCCGCGTCGAGTCCGCATCGAGCCCGCGTCGGGCACAAGAAAAAACGAAGATGCGACGTAACCAGAGGGACCCACCCTCCTCCACGGACCCACCCCGAGAACGGACTCTTGATACCTGGGCGCAGCTCGCCATCAGGACCCACCTCCTTGAAGTACCCACGACAAGGCAGGCGGTTCCTAATGCGTCGCCCGTTGGCAAAATGAGCACTTCTGATCCCAAAATGACCCATCCCCCCCCGCACACACGTATACATGCCAGTCGGAAGAAGTATGTAGAAACATGAAGTAGGAAGGCGGATAAAGCAGATTGGGTTCAGAGGCCCTCCCAGGATATCAGAAAACACAGCGAAAGCACAACGATTCTTGAAGTAGGAAGGCGCTTGAAGGTAGATTGGGACCTGGGCGTCCAAAAATGACTATTTTCCAACGAACGGCGAACACGTATACGCATGCCGTCTCTTCGTAGTGTTCTTACGTCGGGAGGTGAGGGGCCTGTCTGCCATACACCCAGCGGGGGGCTGTAGCGATACGGACGGAACCTACTGAACGAGGGTGAATGCAATCCAGCGGCAACGCCCTCCGAGGCTGACGCAGGATACGAACAAAGATCGGGCGTGAATACCTCGTGAATCTCTGGGAGGTGGCCGAGTCATCATATGTATGGATCCGAATGGCACGGTAGCCTGCCAGCGAATCGGAAACAGGGTACTCTGTCACTGGATGCGGCCAGGCGGCCTGCGCTGGGTGAGCCCCGCGATCTTCGGTCAACAGGTGGGGGCGAGGGCGAATCCGCTCGAAATCGGCCCAGGGGGGAGGAGGAGGAGGAGGAGGAGGAGGAGGAGGAGGAGGAGGAGGAGGAGGAGGAGGAGGACGAGGAGGAGGAGGAGGAGGAGGAGGAGGACGACGAGGACGAGGAGGAGGACGAGGAGTCGAGACCGACAACTTGTGCGGGCCGCGCCCGGCCGCGGCGACGAGGGGGCCCCGCCCCTCCCCCGCCCGCCGGCCGGCACCGGCGCTGGACTGCGGTTCCCCCACCCAGGGCAGCGCTTCGTGGCCCCATATGGAGCTCCACCGAAGGCCCCAGCGGGGGTGCCCGCATGCGGTTCCCCCACCCAGGGCAGCGCTTCGTGGCCCCATGGGGAGCTCCACCGAAGGCCCCTGTGGGGGGTGCCCGCATGCGGTTCCCCCACCCAGGGCGGCACTTCGTAGCCCAATAGGGAGCTCCACCGAAGGCCCCAGTGGGGGTGTTCGCATGCGTCTCCCCTACCCAGGACAACGCTTCGTGGCCCCATAGGGAGCTCCACAGAAGGCCTCAATCGAAGTGTTCGCATGCGTCTCCCCCACCCAGGACAGCGCTAAGGTCCCGATGGCGCAGTTCGCATGCGTCTCCCTCGCCCAGGGCAGCGCTTCGTGGCCCCATGGGGAGCTACACCGAAGGCCCCAGTGGCGGTGTCCACATGCGTCCGCGCCACCAATTTCGGCGCACCCCTCACAAGTTTCGTGGCCCCATAGGAGCTTCACCGAAACCGGTACCCACAATGCGGCACTCGCAACTGCACATGGTTGGGTCCTTCGTCAGGCTAATTTCTCTGTGCTGGATGCCTTTGTGAAAAGCCATTCCCACTGAGCAATATGCGCGCGTGACTCTTTGTCCTCCAATCCCATTGTTTGTGGTTGCCTTTCTTTGCCGAGAAGGAGATCGACCTGCGCCGGCCCCATGGTGTAGCTTGAGAACGGCGACACTTGATAAGGATGTCTCCCAGCTTGCTCCTGCGCTCCATCCCCACGTCTTTCTCCAACGCTGACGATCCCAGCCCAGCTTTCTCGCATCCCCCCAGGTGATACGCTTTGGCCGTTGCCCTGTCGCCCGCGGCGCCTCACCGTCGCCACCTCTGTCCGCCCTGCCCAACGCCCTGCCCGATGCCCAACCCATGCTCCGTAAAACCGGCCTTTGTAGAGTCATCTGTACTTGTCCAAGTCCTCCTCGTCCTGTCGTTTCTTCGCCGCCCGTGCTTTCTGCTGTGCAGAGTCTTACAGGATGACTGTAGGTTCCAGTAACATCCATGTCAAGTCCACTGGCACTCCCCACGGGGGGGAAGTCCTCCTCTTTGCCGCTTTCCTGCAGCACTTCAGCATGTCTCTTTTTGCCCCTGTCCACTTGGGCTTTCAGCTCCATGTCCAAATGGAGCGGCATTTTCTCTGCTATCATCTCGCCATGCTCCTTCTCGCACTCCTCTAGGCCCATCGGTTCTGCTGCCAGCCCCCCACCCCGGGGGCGTCTGCCCAGTTATTTGAGCCATTCCTCTGTGAACCACCATGTCCGCGCTGAGGAATAATACCCCTTTTTGGACCCTCTCCCATTTTCCCGATATTCCACCCTGAGCCTGTGCATCCCACTGGCGTTTTTCTCGCGTGCCCTCCACATTTCTTATGCCAGTTTCTGTGTCTCTTGCCTTTGTCCAAGTATGCCCTGTGCTCGCGTAGAACATTTTGTAGTTGCGCCAGCTCCTTCTTGATATCTCTCCCTCGCGTCAGGCTCTACCATGCCAATTCTTGACTGCATCATTTTTGCCGGTAGGGAACGTCGTAGTAACTGGAAGGTGTCTACCCCTTCTGTCCTCCTGCTTCTTCTTGCTTGGGAATACTTCGCCCATGGCATGCCTGTCCGCCTCGAACCATTTCTTCCACATCTGGTCCGCCTCGGGGCGCTCCTGGAGCGCTCTCTACTCTTCTTCTGCCGTTAGCACCCCCATGGGTCGCACTCCGAGAAAACATCGCCAATGCTTCTCCCGGGACCTCGGTCCTCCAGGGTTGCACTCCGAGATAACCTCGCGAACGCACCTCCTAGGAGTACTGAAGGACCAGCCTGGGTCGCACCCCGAGAAAACCTCGCCAATGCTCCTCCTGGCTGCAGTGGCAGAGCGACCAACAGGTGGCGGTCGAACGCGATCAAGAATTCCGTTCCCAGGAGTCCTTTCCTCAGGCACTCCATCAGCGTGTTGCGGCCCATTTCCCTGCCTGCCGTTTGCTGCCAGTGCTTGCCCGAAACATGAAACGGATGTTCCAATCAAAATCCATTTCCAAAGGGACGTGGTCTCTGTGTCCTCTCGCTTGTATCTTCTGTGTTTTGGCCACTCCTCTCAATGCAGCGCACCTCCGCATGGGGTAGAATCCCCGACGGTATCGCTATGTGGTCTGTCTTGCTCATCCTGATGTTCTCGTCTTTCACGCAGTAGTAAGTTGGCCCACAATCGATGAAAGTCGTGACTACCGACAATAAGGACACACAACTCCCTGAAAGCTGTTCCATCATCGTTCTCCACCTCCTTGGCAACTGGTCCCAATGCTGCTGCGTGTTTGCGCGAGCTGTGTCTACTTACCACCAGTTCCCTGCTGTCGGACCAGCGCATTCCCAATTGGCTGTCGATGTCCCCTCCCACTACGATAATAGATCTACGATTTGCCACCCGTGTCGTCACACTTCTCTTTCAACCAGTCCATAATTCGTTTGAGATCCACCCATTGCTTGCGTACTGCTTATTTGGCGGCAAATACGTCGCGAAGAGTGTGGTGTCGTATGTTCTTGTACGCAGCCTGACCCCTGCCTGTCTTCCTTGCAGTTGTGAACGTGCTGTGTACTGCGTGTGGAAGGCCTTATCTTTCACATCTCGTTGGATACCAGAAACGTCGTACCACATGGCTTGTTGATCCTTTTGCCCCTTTTTTGCCGCGAACTGCAGTGCCATATGATATCTATGATTCGTTTTCTTCATCGGTTCTCGACCTGCCCACTGATGTGTCCCCGTCAGCACATTCACATCCCACTCTCGTGGTGCACTGCTATTTTTTCCTGCCTGTCCGTGTATTCGCCGCCAGCGGATCGTATAATACCAGTCTCATCAATGCACATATCGAGAGCACTGCAACCGCCATCCATCTGCCATGCCCCCCATACGTCCCTCTTTGGCCCGTGCGATTGCTGGGCGGTCGTCGTGTGACAGAGTTTCAGCAAAGCCTCCCTCCGTCGGATCTCAAAGTGCCTGAGCCTCCAACGCCGACTAGGCGGGAGAAGAGCAGCAGGAGGAGAAAATGGAGGAGGAGATGGAGATGGAGATGGAGGTGGGACTGGAGATGGAGGTGGAGGTGGAGGAGGAGGCGGGAGAGAGGGAGGATGGAGGAGGAGGGAGGCGGGGCCTCCCAATCCGCGGCCCGCTGTTCGTCCGCCCGGGGGCGGCCGCATGTCGAGGAGGCCGCGCAGCTTCACCGCGTGCCCCGGGCTGGGCATGCCGGCGCCCGCGCCGTGCTGGCCGTCCTGGCGGGGGCCGACCGGGGGCATCCAAGAGGGGAGGCGTCCAAGGGGAGGGGGGGTCGCACATCCAGAGGCCTCCTAGATTGGGGTCGCAAACCTAGAGGCCTCGGGTCGCAGTAGATGCGGTCGGAGGATCGCGCCGCATGGGCGACTCATCGCCGATGCACTGGCGATGCCTCGCCGACGTCGGCGAGGCACCGGTGCCATTGGCGTGGAGAAAATCGGGCTCAACATCGAGCAGCCTCGCCGATGAATCGGCGATGCGGCGTGATCATCATACTGAGCATCGCATCATAATGCCGATGAATCGGCATTATGATGCGATGCTCAGTATGATGATGATGCTGATGATGATGGTGATTATAGTGATGATGATGCTGGTGATGGTGATGGAGCTGGTGGTGGTGGTGATGATGATGATGATGACGATGGTGATGAAGATAATGATAATGGTGATGATGATGATGATGATGATGATGATGATGATGATGATGATGACTATGATGATGACAGTAATGATGATGATGATGTTGGTGATGGTGCTGGTGGTGGTGATGATGATGATGATGATGACGGTGGTGATGATGATGTTCGTGATGATGGTGATGGTGATGGTGAAGATGATGGTGATGGTGATGGTGATGATGATGATGATGATGATGATGATGATGATGATGATGATGATGATGATGATGATGATGATGATGATGCTGCTTATGATGATGGGCCCGAGTCCTTTTCCTTCCCCACCCCCTGGCTGGTCCGCCTTCCTCCTCGAGCTTGCGCAGCTGCGACCGGAGGCTCAGCACGGACTGCTGCTCGGCCTCGGCCTCAGGGGCTCAACAGGAGAGGAGTGCAGGCCAAGGGGGGGGGCGTCCGCTTGGCTGCCCCAGAGCGGGGCGCTCAGGGGCTGGAGCCAGCGGCAAACCGTCCACCTACGGTGTGGGCACTGCGTACTGTCGACCCGTGTCATAAGGACGCGCGATAAGTGTGTAAGGGCCTTGGAAGGCCATGTCGACACTTCGCGGGCGGGGCGCGGCCAGCAAAAGTGGCCAAGGATGGACCGAGCAGGCAAGGATGCAAAGGCACCACTGGGAAGGTTGCGACACGCCATGCCCTGCGAGCGGATAGCGTGTCGCTCCGCTCAGCGGGGCGGGAGGGTTAGGAAAGGCTCGGGACGTTGACGCCTGGGGGCCAGGAAGTGATTAGCGTGTCGCGCCGAAGCGCAGTAGGCCAGAACTGGCGGAGCGACACGCTGAGCCAAAGTTCCTGCCTGTAAGGGATGTTGGAAGCCAGTGGAACTCCAAGGCCATGGATATCACCGCGGCCCTCATCAGATAAGAAATCCTCCAAGGTCTGAAACCTCCTGGGCACATTCCTTACCAACGCACCCGCCGTAGTTACCACCAGGGACCTCGTAGAGCTTTATGACATGCTTCTGGCGGCAGAAACTACTCAGGATGCCACAGAGCTTCCGAGATAAGTTTAAAACAAGATTGAGCACATGCATGCTCCTCCTCCTCCTCCTCCTCCTCCTCCTCCTCCTCCTCCGCCTCCTCCTCCTCCCTTGCTGCTGCCGAGTCTCGTCGCCGTCCGTCGCCCGCCTCTCTCCCCCCTCCTCGTCTCTCCTTCTCCTGGCCGCCTTGCGTGGAACGCTCGGCGCGCGCGCGCTGCGCGCGGAACCTCGCCCGGGGCCCCGACGGGTCCCGAGGCCTCGGCCCCGTGGCCCGTGGCCCCGGCAGGGCCGGCGCTGCGCGAGGAAGCGACCGCGGCGCATCCGTGTCGCGATAAGCCTGAGTTTAGGCGATCGTTGGGAAGATCTCCGTAGGTTACATGGGGGCAATCGTCGCTGTGGTCCCTGTGCCTGCAGCTGCTGTGGTTGTGACTGTGGACCATCCTGCGTTCTTCGCCTCCTGCTCCTCCTGCTCCTCCTCCTCCTCCTCCTCCTCCTCTTCCTCCTCCTCCTCCTCCTCCTCCTCCTCCTCCTCCTCCTCCTCCTCCTCCTCCTCCTCATCATCATCATCATCATCATCATCATCAGCAGCAGCAGCATCATCATCATCATCATCATCATCAGCATCATCATCAGCATCAGCAGCATCAGCAGCATCATCATCATCAGCATCATCATCATCAGCATCAGCAGCATCAGCAGCATCATCCATATCGTCATCATCATCATCACAATCGTCAACATCATAATCAGCAGCATCGTAATCATCATCATCCTCATCCTCATCCTCATCATCATCATCATCATCATCATCATCATCATCATCAGCATCATCATCATCATCATCGTCGTCGGCATCGTCATCATCATCGTCATCATCATCGTCATCAGCAGCCTGCCTCATCATAATCGTCATCAGTATCGTCATCAGCATCATCAGCAGCATCATCATCAGCATCAGCATCCTCGTCAGCATTAGCATCAGCATCAGCATGAGCATCATCATCGTCATCATCATCAGCATCAGCATCGTCAGTATCGGCATCGTCGTCATCATCGTTGTCCTTAACATCACCATCGTCATCGCCAGCAGCATCATCAGCATAAGCAGCAGCATCGTCAGCATCGCCATCATCGTCTAACCACCGCCACCGTCATCATCGTCCTCGTCAGCATAATAGTAAGACGGAGGATAACAACACTAACAATAATAATAATTAGCGTAATTAAGATAATGCTGATAACCATGATGGCACAGTGGGAATAAAAGCAATAATAATACTAATAATAAGAATAAGAAGAAACGGCAGTAATAATCACAATAACCATAATAATAAGCGTCATCAGCATCGTCATCATCAGCAGCATCAGCCTCATCATCCTCATCATCAGCATCATCAGCATCATCATCAGCACCATCAGCATTATCATCAGAAACAGCATCATCATCAGCAGCAGCATCAGCCTTATCATCGTCATCATCCTTACCCCTCATGCCTCCTCCTCCATCTTCTACTCCCCGTCCCTGCTCAGCCTGCCTTCTCACCCCCCTGCTTCCGCATCATGCCTTGTCATCCTGCCTTCTCCTCATCCTACCTCCCCCTCCTGCCTCAGCATGGCTTCCCCTCCTACCTCCTCTCCCTCTTCCCTCATCCTTTTTGTTCCTCCTCATCATCCTGCCTCGTCCTCTCCCCTTCTCCACCTGCCTGCTCCTCCTTCTCCTCCTCCTCCTCGTCCTCCCTCTTCTGCTCCTCCTCCTCCTCCTCCTCCTCCTCCTCCTCCTCCTCCTCCTCCTCCTCCTCCTCCTCCTCCTCCTCCTCCTCCTCCTCCTCCTCCTCCTCCTCCTCCTCCTCCTCCTCCTCCTCCTCCTCCTCCTCCTCCTCCTCCTCCTCCTCCTCCTCCTCCTCCTCCTCCTCCTCCTCCTCCTCCTCCTCCTCCTCCTCCTCCTCCCTCCTCCTCTCCTCCTCCTCCTCCTCCTCCTCCTCCTCCTCCTCCTCCTCCTCCTCCTCCTCCTCCTCCTCCTCCTCCTCCTCCTCCTCCTACCTCCTACCTCCTACCTCCTACCTCCTACCTCCTACCTCCTACCTCCTACCTCCTCCTGCCTTCTCCTCCTCCCACTGCCGTCTCCTCCTCCTCGTCCTTCTCCTCCTCCTTCTCCTCCTCCTCCTCCTCTCCTCCTGCTTCCTCCAATGCTTCAGCAAGCAGCTAAGACGCCTTAGTGCCGCTCGCCGATGAAGCCAGAGCAAGACGTTGGTCGGATGACAAACATGAGGAGGGGATCCAGCAGGGGGGGGACGATTAACTCACCAACGAAGTTCCCACTCGAGACTTTCTCAAGACTCAGTCCCTGGAATTCCAAAAGTGACAACAGTCACAGGGTCCCGATGACCCCCTCGGACTGGAGACATAAAATGGAAACCCCATAATGACAGTCTCCCGCTAGAGGCATCCTCGCAATTCACTCACAGACAATGCTCCCGCTCGAGACACCCCCAAGATTCAGGCCTCAGGAGCCCCCACAAGTGAGGACTGATACAGGGTCCCGATGACCCATTCGGATTCGTGACAGAAAATGGGGGGGCCCTCAGGCATGGGCTCCCGCTTGCGACAGACCTCCTCGCAACTCAATCGCGGACGAGATTCCCGCCGAAACTTCCTCACAGTTCGATCACAGACGATGCTCCCGCTCCAGCTTTCTTTCATTTCGAGCCCTCAGAAGCCCAAGAGACGACAGTCAAAGGTTCCCAATGACCCACTCAGATTAGTAAGATAATGTGCACCACTTGCAGCCTGCGCGGTGCAGTCCAGGCGGTACCATCACTGTGGTGCACAACCAATATAGGTGGTGCCATTCGATTTGGAGCAACCGATGTGAAGCACAGCCACGCAAAGCACTGCAAAGCAACGCAAGACAGCACAAGGCAATGCAAAGCAGTGCTGTTTTTTTCTTCTGCACCTCCATTGAAACAGCCTGCGAAACGGCAAGGCGAAGCACTTGAATTTGTACCGCGGGGCTGGCCAAGGTGAAGCACTTAACTTTGTACCGCTGGACCGGCCAGCGACTGTTTGCCGCAAGCAAAGCACTGCTGAGCACAGCCAAGCATCGAAGAGCAGTGCGGCGACGGGCGGGGACGAGCCGACCGGCGGCGGCGGGCGGCGACGAGCCAGCCGGACCGCCACCGGGGCCCAGCTGCCTCAAAGAAGAGAAGCGAGAGCCCCTAATGTTTGTGGACGCCACACTAACAATCTTATCATTGAGTTAAAGATGTGCTTAAAATGTTTAAGACATGTTCTCAAAATGGTTTATAATGTTTAAACATGCTTAAAGCATGTTAGAAACATCGTTGAGGCATCTAGATTTTTTGGCAGCACGCTTCCTCTCCATTGATCAACTTCCACAACCCTAAGTGCGAGAGAGCGTGATCCACCGCCGCTCTACTGTGGAAAATTGCCGCCCTTTTCCTCCGGAACCCGCCCCCCCCCCCCCCCCTCCGAAAATCCCCCCCCTGCCCCCCCCCCCTCCCCGCCCCCGGCAAAACCCCCCCCTCCCCTAACCCCTCCCCGCCTAAAAAGTCACTACGAACCCCCCCCCCCCTCGAAAACCAAGGGGGGGTCACTACCGGTTCGAACCCCTCCCCACCCCCCCCACTCACCGCCAGCAAACGACTCCCGGTCCCTACCACCGTCCGCATCACATCCCCCACTGTTGTTCCCAGCACCACTGTCCTCACCACCACTGTCCCCACTGGTTCCACCACCGTCCCTACTGTCCCCACCAGTGCCCCCACCACTGTCGCACTGTCCCCACTGTCCCCACCACTGTTCCCACCACGGTTCCACTCTCCCCACTTTCTCCACGGCCCCAACCACTGCCCGACTATCCCCACTGTCCCCACTGTCCCACTGACTCCTCCGCTGTCCCACTGAGCTGTCCCACTGTTCCCACCACTGTCCCCACTGTCCCCACCACTGTCCCCACTGTACCTCTGTCCCATTGTCCCACCGCCGTCCTCGCCACCGCCTTCACCACTGTCCCCACCACCACTGTACCCTCCACTGTCCCACTGTTTCCACCTCATTCCCACTGTCCCCACACCACTGTCCCCACCACCAACGTCCCCACCACTGTCCACTGTCCCCACTGTTCCCACCACTGTCCTCACCATTGTCCCCACCACTACCGTCCCCACCACTGTCCCACTGTCCCCACCACTGTCCCGCTGTCCCCTCACCACTGTCCCCACCATCACCGTCCCCACCACTGTCCGCACCCCCACTCGGTTTTCGAGGGGGGGGGGTTCGAACCGGTAGTGACCGCCCCCTTTTCATGATGAACTGGGGAGGGGGGGAGGGGTTCGAACCGGTAGTGACCCCCCCCCCGGTTTTCCGAAGGGGGGGGGGGGGAGGGGTTCGAACTGGTAGTGACCCCCCCCCGGTTTTCCGCCAGCAGCGGTAGAACACGCTCTTTCCTAAGTGCAAGCACTGCTTGGGGAAAGTAGGGCCCAGAGGGCGGGCCCCATGCCCAAAGCTTCCTCGCAGGTCCATCGTGGACGATGCTCGCGCTCCGGATGTCTTTCAGATTGCGGTCCTCAGGAGCCCAAGCGACTACAGCTACAGGGTCCCAATGCCCCCCTCGGAATGGAACGATGAAGATGGGGCCCCACCCTCGGGGAAGGGGTCGAGAGCCACGGGCGCCGGCGTCACCAACCCAGAATGCCGCGTCCGATGACTGGGCCTCTTTCTGACACCATAGCCCACCTCCTCTGAGATCCGACGTCGCGGAAGAAACAAATCGTGAAAGGTCACGCCCAGAGCCGTCGACGCAGGGTGTGCGCAGCATTCCTCTCAAGCCTGGCAGAGACTCTCGGCCTCGACCGACGAGAACGGCGACCCTGCAATCGCCAGGGGAGCCCCATATCTCCTCTCAGTCCCCGGCGTGTTACTCCATATGTGCTTCATGGCTTGCTCGTGCCAGGTCATAGAGAGTTCCTCGCCTCGTTCTTGAAGGGGGCGGCGCCGAAGACAGACGCATCTCCTCCACGCCTGCTGCCCACCTCGCATCGTGCACCTCCCCTTCAAACGCGCACAGAGCGGTGCCCCTTTCCCGACCCCGTCGAGACAAGTCGACCGCCGCCTGCGTCATGCCCAGGTCGCGCACGGCCGCCTCGACATACTTGCACTTCTTCTCCTGGATGCGCCCCTGACGGAAAGCGAGCACGGCTTGGACAAGGGGCGCGGAAGATCGGAAAAGCATGCAAACGATAGGTCAGGTCCAGCCTTGGCCGTTAAGGAGCACTGCGGGGAGAATACACGGCGCGTAGCTCATGAATGGCACGGTGTGCCTCACACTCCGCTGTCGCATTTGCCACGTTCATGCAAGTCTCGGCTTGCAGAAAAGGTTGTAAGGGAAACAGGTGCTGAGCCCTTGGGCTTTGGGAGGCCTCCCAAGTGGGGTCCGCGCAGATGGGGTCGATGGATCGCGCCGCATCGCCAATGCATCGGTTACGTCGGCGATGCATCGCCGCCGTCGGCGTGAAGAACATCGGGCTCCACATTGAGCCGCATCGCCGATGCACCGCGATGCGGTGCGATCCTCCGACCCCCATCTGCTCGGATCCCAGGTCGGAGGGCATGAAGCTTCCCCAGCAGGACACAACTAGAGAACCAAAAAACGTCATAAACACAAACTGTTGGCGCTCCGCGCGGATCTCTTGGATCTGCGTTGGAGGGCCCTGGCCGGCGCGCGGAGCGCGCCGGGGGCGGCGCCGGAGACGCCGGCCAGGGCGCTCCAACGCAGATCCAAGAGATCCGCGCGGAGCGCCAACAGTTTGTGTTTATGACGTTTTTTGGTTCTCTAGTTGTGTCCTGCTGGGGAAGCTTCATGCCCTCCGAACTGGGATCCGAGCAGATGGGGGTCGGAGGATCGCACCGCATCGCGGTGCATCGGCGATGCGGCTCAATGTGGAGCCCGATGTTCTTCACGCCGACGGCGGCGATGCATGCATCGCCGACGTAACCGCGCGATGCATATTCTTCAATCAACGGAGCACCGCGCGACGCCGCGGAGCACCACTGCGGACACCCAGGGGACGGCAGGTCGCTCTGGGGGGGGCTCGGGGGCACGCGCACGGACCGCCCGCCGCCCGCTGGAAGAGCAATAGAAGGGCAGGAAAGCAGGCGCACAACGGCTCGACAAGACCGAGACGGCCAGTCGTTCGCCACTCGGGCGTTGGGAAGCCGCTTTCGGCCCTCAGGCCCATCCACCAAAAAAGAACATCCGGATGAAGAGCCAGCCCTGGGGCCGGGGTCGAGGGTCCTGCCTGGGCCCTGGGGATTTCCCTGGGACCCGCTCTTCATCCTGAGCCCTTTCCCTACTACTGTCTCGGGACCCCGGGGTCCTTTGCGCTAAGAGCTTAACGACTTATGCTGTCCCTCGACTCGCGCTGGAGCGTCAACGATTTGCTCCAGACTTTCGTGGAGGTCCTCGAATGTACTTCGATTTATCTGGCCCAACCTAGATTAAATGGATGTACCTCGATCTATCGAGTCTGATCCCCGCAAGTCGATTGGAGAAAATGCGCAAGGCCTTTAGGGAGGGGCCACCTCTTCCGCCCTCCCTCCCTCGCAGTCCTCCTCCTCCTCCTCCTCATCATCATCACCACCACCACCACCACCACCACCATCATCATCATCATCATCATCATCATCATCATCATCCTCATCATCCTCATCATCCTCCTCATCCTCATCCTCATCCTAGTCCTCGTCCTCCTCATCCTCCTTCCCCATGCCTGGCTCCTTACGAATAACTCCTCTCTGTCGCACCACCAGGCGTGTCCGTTAGCCAGGCCAGTTCATATTGAATTGCAACGTACGACCTCGAGACCTCCACCTCCCAACATTTTTACGAATGGAGGGTCGGTCGTGTTCAAAACGTGGCCCTCGCACCGCGCACATCCGTCTTAACAGTTTCCAGCACTTCAACTTAGGTCGGGCGCGTCCCTCTACAGGCAGATGTTGGACGAAAAATTGAAAATAGTCAAACATATTCAAAAAAGTTGAAAAGTTCTACTGTTTTTTTTATTTCCCCCCTGTAGAGGGACAAGCCCGAGTTAAACTTACACGGATGGAAGCTGGCATGCTTTCAAAGTGGGGAGCTCGCCGTAGCGCCGCGCACACTCGTCTTAGAAACTCCCAACCGTTTTACCTATAGAGTCCTTCACGTAATCAAAATGAAACTCTCGCCTGGAACTTTGTTTGGTTGTCTGACCAGAACTTGGGAGTCGTGCAACAGCTACTGGGGTGAAGGGCGATTCTTGTTCAAAGTGGAGCAGTCGCCGGGCACATCCTTGCAGTTCAGAAAACCAGGTTGTCGTACTCAGTATAGTTCGAAGGATGAAGGGAGGCTTCCTTCAAAACGGAGTTCCCACCTGCATTGCGAGCCCATGGGGTACTCGTATGTCAAGAGGGGCGCTTCCCGCAATGAAGCGAATGCATAAATGGACTGGTTAGGAAAGACCTTGGGACGGGAGGGTGGGTTGCAGGATCATTGGTACATGTTGGGTTCAATATAATATTCCTCCTCCTCCTCCTCCTCGTGTTCCTCCTCCTCCTCGTGCTCCTCCTGCTCCTCGTCCTCCTCCTGCTCCTCCTCCTCCTCCTCCTCCTCCTTCTCCTCCTCCTCCTTTTCCTCATCCTCCTCCACGTCAACGTATCCTTATGTATGAATAAACCCTCCCTGCCGCACCCCCAGACGTGCCGGTAGGGCGGGCCTGGCGTTTCGCCTGAAACTTCCTCACCGCTTACGGTCCTGAGAACTAAGAATCTGCAACAGCTTCACCGGATGCAGGCGGGCGGTTCTCAAAATGTGGCTCTCGATTGAGCGCCGCGCACATCCGTCCCAAAAGTTTGCAACAGCTTTAAGGATGAAGGGCGAGCAGTTTTCAAAATGTTGATCTCGCGTCAGCGCGACGCACATTCGTTTTAAAAGTTCGCATCAACTTCACGGGTGGATAACGGCTCCTTTTACAAAATCCGCCGACTCTGTCGGCGTGTGCGGGGTGTCTGTCCAAGTTTGCATCAGCTTCACGGATGGAGGACGGCTCCTTTACAAAATCCGCCGACCCTGTCGGCGTTTGTGGGGTGTCTGTCCGGTCCCGTCGACGGGGAGCCTTCTTTCGCCCCGTCCTTCCCATCCTCCTCTCCCGTCGGGGAAGAGAGAGAGAGAGAGAGAGAGAGAGTGAGCACACTTCCTCGTTCGGGGAAAGGGTTCGCAGCTTGAGAGAATTCCACCCACGTCCTCATTACGTCAAAAGGAAGCCCCTTCCCTTTGTCCCTTCCCCGGCGGAGGGGGGGGTCCCGGGGGGGGGGCGTGGGGTCAAATTCGCATCGCCTCTGGGGGTCCTCCTCTCCCACGCCAGTCCTTCTCTGGCGCGCCGGTCCTCCTCGGGTCCTGGAGGAGCCCCAAAAGGCGGGAGGGGAGTCAGATACGCATCCGTCCCTAGGGGTCCTCCTCCAGCTCCCCTCCCCTCTCCCACGCCAGTCCTCCTCCGGTCCTCCTCCCCAGGGGGGGGGGCCCAGGGGGTACTCATTTCCCCCCTTCTTCTTCTTCTGATTATTATTATGAATAGTATTATTAGTAGTAGTAATATTAATAGTATTAATCATGGTCTTACAAATATTCGCATCACAAGTATTATTATGAGTAGTAGTAGTAGTAGTAGTAGTAGTAGTAGTAGTAGTAGTAGTAATAGTAGTAGTAGTACCATTAATACTAGTACGATCATTATTATTGAAAGTAGTATAATGTGTTGTTACTCATCATCTTATCATTACTAGTATAAGGATTCCTCGTATTGTTCTTGTAATTAGTATCAGTAGCATTATTCTTGATCGTATTACTATTATCATTATTAGTATGGTTGTGTTCATTGTTGTTCGTATTGCTATTAGTACTCGTAGTGCTAATCCTCTTCTGTTTTGTGTTCACATGATTATTATTAGTATTAGATTGTTCTGCTCTGCTTATTCATTTTCATAGTATGATTCGTGTTATGATTATCCTTATTAGTACTACTCCTTTTCTTAGTAGAATTGCTATTACTAGAAGTATCATTGTTATTATTGGTCGTCTTATTATATTGAGTATTGCTCGTCTTCCTATGTTTCTTCTAATAAGCATTACTATTGTTGTTGTGATTACGATGTGTCCTTATTATGATTATGAATTGTCTCCTTCTTAGTATTAAAATTACTCGTCTTCCTCCTCATCCTCCTCCTCCTCCTCCTCCTCCTCCTCCTCCCCCTCCTCCTCCTCCCCCTCCTCCTCCTCCTGCTCCTCCTCCTCCTCCTCCTCCTCCTCCTCCTCCTCCTCCTCCTCCTAGTTTCCGCCTCCTCCTCCCCCTCCTTCTCCTCCTCATCCCCCTCCTGGTCGTCGTCGATGTCTTCCAGGGTCGGCGGCACCGGCCGTCAGGCCTTCACAATCTCAGCGCCGCGTGCATTAGTCTTAAAAGCCCGCAACAGCTTCACGGATGGAGGGCGGGCCGTTTTTAAAACTTGGCTCTCGCTCTGGTGCCGAGCACATTCGTCTTAAAGGTTCGCAACAGCTTCGCGGATGGAGGGAGTTCCTTTGCACAATGTAGTCTCGCCTGAGCACCGCGCACCTTGGTTTCAACGTATTTTCTTGACGCAACTGTCGCGTGGATTCGCGGTGTTGAAGTCCCAGCAACGGCGTTCTGGTACGACTTAACATTGCCAGGGGCAACAGTCACGTTGATTTGTGGCATAGAAATCCCAGGAAGTGTGTCCTGGCACGAATGAAGATTCTGAGACGGTTGTCTTCCAACGGGGCACTTCCCGCAATGCAAATGAATGCTTGCAGGGACCTATGATCAGGGAACCTGGAGGGAGGGTTTACTGCAACATCGTTGGCGGCTTCGGTTTACACTGGTCCCTCCTCCTCCTGATCCCTCCTCTTCCCTCCTCCTCCTCCTCCTCCTCCTTTTCCTCCTCCTCCTTCCTCCTCCTCCTCCTCCTCCTCCTCCTCCTCCTCCTCCTCCTGCTCCTCCTCCTCCTCTTGCTCCTCCACCTCCTCCTCCTCCTCCTCATCCTCCTCCTCCTCCTCCTCCTCCTCCTCCTCCTCCTCCTCCTCATCCTCTTCCTCCTGCTCCGCCTCCTCCGCCTCATAATCCTCCTCCTCCGCCGCCTCCTCCTCCATCCTCTTATTCCTCCGCCCTCCTCCTCCTCCTCCTACTCATTCCTCCTTCTCCCTCCTCCCTCTCCTCCTGCCCCTCCTCATGCTCCGCCCTCTTCCTCCTCCGCCTCAGCAGCAGCGACAACTCGAGCCAGCGAGCACAGAGCCGAAGCTAAGACAGCTCAAACCTCCCGAGAGGATGAGAGAGAAGGGAGACAGTGGCAATGGATGCCTCCGGGGAGCCTGGCCGAAAGTGTGGTCGGCAGCAGGCCCCTTTGAGGCGGGAAGGGGTCCTCCAACCACCCGCCCACGCCTCCCCCTCCACCAGAGGGGAAATCTACTAAACAGCGAAAACCCCTGACAGCATAGAATAAGGATAAATAGGTCAGTAAGAGGACCAGCTTCGCTGTTTAGATACACGGAACCCGAGAGCTCGCTCTGCGACTACCTGCAAACACTAGCTGGCCGGGGAGGGCCAACGCTGTCACGACAAAGTGTCGCCGGTGTTTCCTCACATGTGAGCGCATAGAATGTAGAGGGTGGTGGGGAGGTCCTCCAACTCCCCCTACAGTGCACGCGCACCCACCCACACACACACACACACAGCACACACCCAACCACCGAATACTCGAACTCCTCCCCTCCAACTCTTCCCCCCGAATAGGATGAATGAGGAAGAAGAACAGCAGAAAGCAGGATAAAGGGAGCAATTCATACAGAATGCTGGGAGAATGGCAGCCTCACGAGCTCTCAGCAGTAGCCTTCGCCGATGAAGAACTCGAATGGGCCTTGCTGCAACCCCTGCTCTCTGTGGAGAGGTCCGTATTGGCATGGACAGGGCAAGCGCGGAATTTCACGCCCAGCACCTCTTGAAACTCCATGAGCTCCTTGATTTAAAGAACAATGGTAAAAATAATGACCTCCAATATTTGACATACCCGGCCGGCTTCTGGCCCAACTCGGTACATGCAAGAATCGACATCTACGGGCACGTCGTAATTTATGGCATAGCATACGGGGTTGGCAAACGAATCGTTCAAGCTATTGCGCACCACTGTGAAGCCCGCGTGGATGTCATTTGTCTCCTCCTCCCCCAACATCTCTGTGGAGGCGTCCGAAGGGGGGTCCGAAGCAGCATCGGCGACAACAGCCCATCACGCTCAGACGCTCTGGAGAGAAACCACAGCGTTCGAGCAAGCCTTGCAATGCTAAGGCTCTGTGCCTAGATCGTATGTAGACGAAGAACTTATCTGCCTCCGATGAGTGAAGAAGATTGTCAATCAACTGCTCAGTCTTTCCATTTTGGGAAGTCATCACGTAGCACTGCTGCGTGGCTGCATTAGATGAAGCGTCGCTCTTGAACTCGTAGAGGTTATTGCTATCTTCCCCTGCACGAAAGAGTATTGCATTACCTCGTGATGAATATTTTCCGTAGACGGGTGTACTTCCTGTTGGTCGAGTTGCTGGCCCTTCGTGCTCAAAGAAAATACGTCCGCGCGCGTGTCCATGGCCATGTCTTGGAGCTCATGTAACCGGGCCATAAACACATCATAACCCCGAGGCTCTGTCTCCTCAATCTGGGTACCCGCGGTGTCGAAATTGACAACACCCTGCTTGCCAATTTTTGCGACAGCATCACTCTCTATATGGGCGCTGCCTGCCACCTCGACCACAACGTAGCTTCCGCTCGATTTTGATGTAGCACGAATGGGATGGACCTGGCTGTCCATGTGGCCTCGCGGGGCCCATTGCTTGTTTGTTGGCCCTCCATTTGCACTGACCTTTGATGTCAGATGCTACTTCACCCGTAGAAAGGCCAACACTGGCTTGGGTAATATGGCGGACCAAGTTGTACGCGCAGTCGGTCTCGATCAGCTGAGACTTGCAAGCTGGGAACAAGCAATCTGAATTCCGAGCCGCATTCGCCAGGCCTTCGTAGTGATGACCGCTTGCCTGGGAGGGCATTTCCAAAAGGTCATCTCGCAGAGAGTACACTAAGGAGTGTGATATGCATGGCTCGGAAAAGAAAACGGCAATACACCTGCTGCCGCTTGAGCCCGAATGGCTACGGAGCCTCCTCCTACTCCTCCTCCCTCCCTCCCTCCCTCCATCCCTCCCTTCCTCCCCCCTCCCTCCTCTCACCTCCCTCCCCTTTCCCCTCCTGCACTCCTGCGATAACCAGCCGCTTCCGATCCTCCCCTCGCCTCCGCCCCCCCCCCCCCGCGAGCAGGCCGCGGCGGCCCGCCTTGCACTCCTCGAGCGCGGGCCTGTGGCGCAGCAGCATCGGGATGATCCCGCCGCCGGGCCCGCGCGCGCCGCCACCACCTCCGCCTCCGCCCGGCGGACAACCCACGGCATAAGCCCTCAACTCTCGGGGCTCCGCGCGGAGCTTCCTCGGCGCGGCGCGCTGGGGCCCCCCTGGCGGCGCCTCCGAGGCGCCGCCCCTGGCGGCGCCCCCGAGGCGCGCGAGGGAGGGGGGGGCCCAGCGCCGGTCCGGTCCGAGGACTCCGCGCGGAGCGAGAGCTTGGTGTGCTTATGCCGCTGCTTTTTTTGTGCCCCGAGCCGCGGCGCGACGGGCTCCCGCTGCGGCTGCGGCTGCGGCTGCGGCTGCGGCTGCGCTCGCGGGCGCCTGGCCCGCGGGGGGGCCCTCCGCGCCTCCGGCCACGCCGGGGCTCGGGGAGCACTGGCGAACGCGCGCGTCGTGCTTCTCCGCCAGTGCCCACCCCCTTCCCCCAGGGATCGGAGTTGGCGCTGGCTCTGGTGAGTTGCACTTCGACCAGTCTTCCCCGCGCGCGTCCACTCTGAATTTGGGAGGAGGCGAGCGTTTTCTTATTCGGCGTTTCGGCAGTGGGCGGAAGGGGGGGTGGTCTGGCTCCAGACGTCTGCTTAGTGCCACTGTTTGCAGCAGTGCGTAATGCCACTGTTTGCAGCAATGCGTCCTATGGGGGAGACTACACGTGCTCGAAACGGGCGCCAAGAACTGCCAAGATCTACTCCACTGGCGGGGGGGAGGGGGGGGGCGAGGGCCCGCGCCGATCGGCAAAACGATGAATAAGAAAACGACGACGAAAGGGAGTGTTCATTGTGTAAGTGGTTCCCCTTACCGTGTCGGGGGCGTCCGAAGCGGAGGCGTCCGAAAGAGAGGAGCGTCTGGGGGCGGGAGCAGCGGCCCGAAGCCGGCGAGACCTGGCCGATATATCGATCGGCAGGCCACGGGTAGCGAGCCCGTACCTTCCTCGGGAGGGGTGGGCTGGCGGGCACGTATCCGCGATGGCTGGGCGATCAGGGGTCAATGGATCCCGCCCCCCATTTCCGGCGGCACACTCGGGGGGATCTGGACACCCCCGGACGCCTCTCGGCGAGGCGCAGCCGCTGAAACGCATCCCGAGGCAGGAAAACCTCGTGGAGCTGACAGAAGCGTGAAAAAAAACTGCCGAAATAACTCGATCCCCTGATGTCCTTGTCATCGTCGTCGGTGTCCTTGTCCTCGTCGTCGGTGTCCTTGTCCCCGTAGCTGATCCCCCCCTGCCCACCAGTCGAAAGAAGTCACCACAATCTGGGCGCGAACGGGAATGAGATACCCCCTGGCAGCTCCCCTTTGGGCGTGCTGAAACCAGCGCCTCGCCCGAGACATCCTCAGAATCTGCTCTGAACACAGACGAGTCTGGCCAGCAAGACAGGCAAACCGCCCGAGCCATCCCCGCAATCTGGCCCCCCTTGGGGTGCGAAAACCAGCGCCTCGCCCGAGCAATCCTCAGAATCGGCTCCGAAAGCGGAGGATGTTGTGGCACACAAAAAAAGCAGACCGCTCGAGCCAACCCGCAATCTGGGCGCGAACGGAGGAGTGAGATACCCCCTGGCGGCCCTCCCTTGGGAGCGAAACCCACGCCTCGCCCGAGCCATCCTCAGAATCGGCTCCGAAAGCGGAGGATGTTGGGGCGCATAACAGGCAGACCGCTCGAGCCAACCCCGCAATCTGGGCGCGAACGGAGGAGTGAGATACCCCCTGGTGGCCCCCCCCTTTGGGAGTGCTGAAACCAGCGCCTCGCCCAAAACATCCTCAGAATGTACTCCGCAATTATCATCATCATCATCATCATCATCATCATCATCATCATCATCATCATCATCATCGTCATCAGCAGCAGCAGCAACATCATCAACATCATCAGCATCATCATCATCGTCATCAGCATCATCATCAGCAGCATCAGCGTCATCAGCAGCATCACCATTACCATCATCACCATCATCAGCAGCATCATCATCAGCATCATCCCCATCACTATTCTCAGCAGCAGCATCGTCAGCATCACCTGTTGCCACCACTACGAACAACTAACCAATCATGTTTATCATCAGCATCATCACCATCACCATCGCCATCATCGTCATCATCATCATCGTCATCATCACCTTCTGCATCATCATTATTCACGTCGTCACCACCATCATCACATAACCCAAGTAGTCACCCTGAGTGTGGTTTGGGGTGAGGAAAGGGTGAGAGGAGGAGGAGGAGGAGGAGGAGGCGGAGGAGGAGGAGCAGGTGGAAGGAGTCGACGCGGTCGGAGTAATACCCAGAACCCCACCCTTTGGATTTGGGAACAAAACACACTCTGCCTCCAAATTCGGAGCATGCTCAGCCAACCCGATGCGCCACCCCCACCCCCACCATCCCACCATCCCTGTCAAAAATCATCGAAGTACACGTTGGGGCAAAGTCTTGATTCATGGTCGTGAGGCCCGCGAGCACTTTGCGTTGTCTTTTGAAGGGAGCGGCGGGGGTGTCAGCATATTGCCTGCTGTGCGCAGGGCCACCATCCCGAATGCACCCGCGGCAAATTCTGGACCATGCGCGGCCACCCCGCGATCACTTTCAAGTGATTGTTGACAGGGACGGCGGGGGTGGTTGCGTCCGACGTGTTTCCCGATGTGTGCCGTCACGTGCGCAGGCGCACGTGGCACACCCTCCTGCACGTGCCCCGAACGTGGCTCGCCGGGCGCGGATGGAGTATGCGGCACACCCGGCGCACGTGGAGCATCTGGCGCACTGGGCGTGCCCGGCACTCTCGGCCCCAGGGGTGCCTGGCGCGCGTGGCGCGCCTGGTACGTGTGGCGCACCTCGCCCCAGCGTCGCGCACATGGGGTCGCTTTTGATTCCCAGTAGCTGTCCATCCAAAGACGACCGCTGAACATGCTGAGGCTCGGGTGCTCCTTATGTGCTGAGAGGGCGGGTGGGAGTGATCGAGACGGCTTGCGGGCGGGCAGGGTGTCTTGACCCCTCTATCTGCCGACCCTTGGCCTGGGAGGGGGGGGGGCAGGTACTTAGAGTTTCAAGATGGGCCCAAGATGAATCCAAGAGGGCCCGCAGCAGCCCAAGACGGTCTCAGAGATAGCTCAAGATAGCCGAAGATGGCTCGAGCCATGAGGGCCAAGATGGCCCAACGAGACCTCACAGGCCCCCCCCCCCAAAGGGTCCCAAGAGAGCCCCCAGAAGAGCCCAAGGAGGCCCCAACAGGGCCAAAACGGCCTCCAAAATTAGGCCACCGAGGGTGGGGGGGGATTTACATTCAGGACCACCCTCGTGTACAGCCATGGGCCCAAGACGCGACACGTCCAAGGCAACAGGCAGCGAGTGGCACGTCCAGGGCCGCAGGGCAGCCAGTCGCACACCGGGGCAGCAGGTGACCAGTGGCACGTCGGGAGAAGCAGACAAGCAGCGGCACGTCGCGCAGGAAGTCTGGCGATCGTTTCTGGACGGGCCGGGATAGTGCAGCAGGACGGGGACCGAGGATAATACCAGCATGAGATACAGAGGGGGGCGGGAGCGAGAAAAGCAAGGGAGGGAAAAGAGGGTGACGAGCCCTTCTGTCACAGATGGGCTCGTTGGAGGAGCCATTCCTTCACAGACACATCCCAGAAGCCCTTCTTTCTCAGAGGGGCCAAACTGGCACCTTCTCTTGGCTTGTGGACTACCCCTCGGTCGGAAGAGGCAGGTAGAAGCATGACGTAGGAAGGCGTCAAAAGCAGATTGGGTGCCCGACGGCCCCCAAAAAGAGGACGGAAAGGGTGAAGCCACTCGATCAGCGCAGCAGGAAGGCGCTCTGGAAGCAGATTGGAGCCTGGGACTCCTGAAATGCCTACTTTCAACGACCGACAGGGGTTACGCGAGGCGTCAAGAGTCGCGACGCCAGAGGCTCGCAGCGCAGCCCGTGGTCTGAGCCTCTCCGCGAGCGGCGGCGGAGGCCCAGGTGCTCGGAGCCCACCCCGACCCCCTTCTGTGGCAGCTGACGGGCGCCTCCCGTGTCACACCCTGGCTCGTGCGAGCGGACGCCAGTCGACGCTCCTCGATGCTCACAGACGCTGCGTCAAGTGAGCACTTTCTCATCGACTGGTAGACGCTGGCGCACGCCAGTGCACTCTGAAGGCTGACTTCCGAGGACGTGCAACGCTCACTCCCATGAGCTGCTGCCGAACGGTCCCCCATCCCAGGGGCACAATGTTTACCGTTCTCGCCGATTCGAGCTTCCGACCTTTAGAGCCTTGTCAGAGGAGCCTCCTCTTCCACCCTATCCTCGTCCTCTGGCGCATCCTCCTCCGCCTCCTCTTCCTCCTCCTCGTCCTCCTCGTCCTCCTCGTCCTCCTCGTCCTCCTCCTATTTCTCCTCACCGTCTTCCTCCTCCTCCTCCTCCGCCTCCTCCCCCTCCTCGTCTTGGCCGTCTGATCCCGGCCTCGCCAGAGCATCATCAGGCATCCCTTCTTGCAGCCTCGTCCTCCTCCTCCTCCTCCTCCTCCTCCTCCTCCTCCTCCTCCTCCTCCTCCTCCTCCGCCCTCCGCCCTCCGCCCTCCGCCCTCCTCCCTCCCTCCTCCCTCCTCCCTCCTCCTCTTCCTCCTCCTCCTCTCCTCCTCCTCCTCCTCCTCCTCCTCCTCCTCCTCCTCCTCCTCTCCTCCTCCTCCTATTCCTCCTCCTCCTCCTCCTCCTCCTCCTATCCTCCTCCTCCTCCTCCTCCTCCTCCTCCTCCTCCTCCCCTCCTCCTTCCTCCTTCTCCTCCTCCCCCCTCCTCCTCCTCCTCCTCATCCTCCTCCTCCTCCTCCTCCTCCTCCTCCTCCTCCTCCTCCTCCTCCTCCTCCTCCTCCCCCTCCTCCTACGCCATGGTAAGGGATGAAGGGGTAGGACGTCAGATATGACGCGAGCGTACTTAGCTTGCCCCCTCCCCCTTCCCCCCGCAGGCGGGGCCTTCCCCGGCTGCCCCCTCGGGTGCCGCAGAGGAACAGCTGCCCGCGCCGCGGGCCGCCGCCCGCGAGCCCTCGCAGGCAGAGGGCAGGGC